GTAAATTTGTATTACCGTATTTGATTTCACTATATTTATGTAATAAGGCAAAAATAAGTTCAGTAGTTACAGTTTCCAAACGGTGTATTTACCCATGATGTAACACGTAGTGGTCTTAAAAATATCAGTAAAGACGAATGTACATACCAAAATACTGTTTGTGTCGAAAAGATTTAGGTAACAGTCGTCAAACCTATGTACAGTATTATGTTCATAAGGGCCAACGTTTGTAACCTTTCTTGGTGATGACCTCCCATTTCAAAATTTCAGTTTTTCTCTGCTATTGGTTTAAATTGTTTTAAATAATTGGTCAAGTTAAAAGTCTTACATGGGTTTTTATCACGCTGCGTTAAAATAAAAATATATTTACTTCGTTTATTTTTTGAAACGAATTGTGTATTCTAATGAGACTACATTTTATGCTTTGCAATGGATGACTGTTCTTCGTTAAACCTTTTATACTTGTGTTTGTATTTTATTAATACATTTGAGGTGAAACCCCTTTAAATAATTCCTTATATGTGTATTGGTGTTCAACAATGAATATAATTGTCAGTTTTCATTTAATGCTTGTATTCTATATAATCCAGTGGCTTATTTTGACGAGTAACTAGTCATATCTGTATGATTAATGTGTTCATTATGAAGGAGGGAATATTTGTGTATCTTCTCGAAACTGGTGTATTCATATCTCACTTTGAAGTGAGATACTTGTGTGAGGAATAAAATATTGTGTTGAATTATTCTTTGTGATTGGCTTCTCATTTTCTTAGCCCCCCAGTGGCACAGCGGTATGCCTGCAGACTTACACTGCTAGAAACCGGGTTTCTATAATCGTGGTGGGTAGAGCAAAAATAGCCCATTGTGTAGCTTTGTGCTTAACTAAAAACAAACTCATTTCCTGGGACTGAAGGTAGGAAAAGAATACAATTTATAGCTAGTTAACAGAAGCGTCGGCGATCTGTTTAATGGTGTGTTTTTTGTCAACTATCTGTTTCTTGAATAGTGTTACTTCTTTAATTTCATTTAAAACATGCGCCCACTTCTATTATATTGCTACTAATGTGTTTTTCATTCAAAACCCGGCGTTTTGTGCAATTTTATATCTTGTTATTCTATATATCTTTTACGTGTTTTTTATTCAAAACCTGACGTTTTGTGCACACCGTAGCTACCCCTTGTGTCACTTTGCGCTTAACGACAAACAAACAATATCGAACATTAGGCAACATATTTTAGTCAAACCCCGTTATTTCAAATAGGTTTAAAAACAGAAAATATTTCAATTTTGTTCAGGTCACTGAACAACTGTCATTCTATATACCTTTTACGTGTTTTTCATTTAAAACCTGACGTTTTGTGCAATTTTATTTCTTGTTATTCCATATACCTTTTACGTGTTTTTCATTTAAAACCTGACGTTTTGTGCAATTTTATTTCTTGTTATTCGATATACATTTTCTTGTGAGGTGATCCAATAATGTAGTTCACGTACTCTCTCTCCAATATACGGTACTTGTGAGGTGATCAAATAGTGTAGTTCACGTACTCTCTCTCCAATATACGGTAATTATCAGGTGATGCAGTAGTGTAGTTCACGTACTCTCTTTCCAATATACGGTACTTGTAAGGTGATCCAATAACGTAGTTTACGTCCTGTCTCTTCAATAAACGATAATTGTCAGGTGATTCAGTAGTTTAGTTTACGTCGTGTCTCCCCAATATACAGTAATTGTCAGGTGATACAGTAGTTTAGTTTACGTCCCGTCTCCTCAATATACGGTAATTGTCAGTTCATCCAGTAGTTTAGTTTACGTCCTGTTTCCCCAATATACGGCAATTGTCAGACGATCCAGTAGTGCAGTTCACGTCCTGTCTCTCGAGTATACGGTATTGTTAGGTGATCCAGTAGTGTAGTCTACGTCCTGTTTTTCGAGTATACGGTATTGTTAGGTGATCCAGTAGTGTAGTCTACGTCCTTTCTCTCCAATATACAGGAGTAGAATACCTCTCATTTGTTATATGGGGCCTTCTGCACTTCGTACCTCCGGTGGCTCATAGGCAAGTCTGATACCCAATGTCGATACCCGCAGTGGGGGCGTCATGTCTCTCCAATATACGGTACTTGTGAGGTGATCCAATAGTGTAGTTCACGTACTCTCTCTCCAATATACGGTACTTGTGAGGTGATCAAATAGTGTAGTTCGAGGACTATCCCCAGATCCTAACGAGCCTTTGCAGGCCAACACAAACTTTGTTAGCTCTTAGATAATAGAGAGCATGTTACACGTACGGTATTACTTTACATGAAAGGCGTAAGATAGGCCTTGTAACATTGATGTTATGTAACGTGGGACGATATATATACGAAAGAAATAGTTTTACTATGATGCAAGATTTTATCGCGTAATACAGAATTTAGTACAACGTTTTTTTTTTGTTTTGTTTTTCTCAGACAACAAAGTCAAAAACAAGAAGGGCCACCTATAATAAATCTAGGATACAATTAACTAAATTGTGGGAAAGGAAAATGTACCTTAGGGAGTGGTATCTACAGAAGGGTTAAAATGTCTATCATATCTAATTTCTAATCGCAAGCCTCACCGATGAAAGGAAGAATTAAATAAATACCAAATATGTGTACTATAGCTCACAACGTCCCACATCCACGATTATAATTCACTACCGGCAGTCAACTGTGGCTAGATAGTTGCTTCTAATGAAATAAAATTAACAATAATAATTAAAAGAGTTGGCTGCAAATGGACCACTGGGGGTGATACATAAGACTTATCTCTTGAAGTAGGCATTCTAACCCTCAGAATCGTCAGGTACCTAAACGAACAGTATCTTAAATCCTAACATACATTACTGCAATTAAACGAGTGAAGAATTGAATTTTAATTTCAAAAAAGAAGAAAAAAAAGCTATAACCCACCCGAGCAACTACTATGAACATTATGTTTTTAAACAGCTTGTACAATTAGATGAATAGCATTACATTATCTCGTATTCTAACTAACATCAAAAGATATGTTGAGAAGTGGTTTTACAGGGTAAAAAAGTTGAAGGCGATGAAAAGTCACAAGGACTTTCATGGTTCGTAGCTATCACATCAAATATTAAATCTCTTATCTATTGTTAAGATTATTCATTTAAAGCTCAATGGTTCTACTCGTATATCGTTAATTCAGTCGACTAACCATTTAAGCTCACCACTTTTATCTTAGTAAACATGTCTTTGACAAAGCAAACCCTGGTGTGGAAAAAAAATACGTAATAGTATCGACAAGCCAAGTTCTATTATACCCAGTTGTTATTCTCATTCAACAACATTCTATCATTATCTCAAAATAGAAAATTATACACTCTGAAATAGCCACAGTAAATGGTTTAACAGTTAATTTTACTTTTATATATTTTGTCTTCTAAAACACATCTATGACAGCTAGATAGCTTAGGCCAGAAAACTACCTCTCAAGATAGTTATGGTACGTTAAAATGTAATTAAGATTTTCGTACAAACCTATGACTATCTGGGCATATCCATCCCCATTTTTAAACTGATAAGTTAGAGAGAAGACAACTAGTCAACAGCACCCACTGCTATCTCTTAGGCTACTCTTGTTTGACCGAATAGAGATTTTCACTGTGACTCTTATAACTCACCCACGACTCAAAAGTGCGAGGTACATTTCTGCGGTAAGAGAACACGAACCATGAACGCTCGGATTGCAGTCCGAGCATGCTAACCACTCGGCCCGAGATACTATGTAGAGATTTGTAAATGTTTGACAGCTTTTCAATTAAACTAACATAGAAGAAGTAAAAACATAGAATATATATATAGATCAACAAAGGTGCATCAGCATTACCAGGGTCGTTTCATTCCGTGAGATGGCATTAAAAAAAAAAGCTAAAACAATAAATCATTCCTTTAAATGCATCTCATTAGGTACAGTAATTTACGTATTTATTTTGCACAAGTAATAAAATGTTTTAGAACATCTCAAACTTTTGACCATGCTATGGCCGAAATATGACATGACACCACTTCTGTCGACTTTGAAACTGGCCAGGTAAATTTTTGATCAATTTCTTTTTGTTTGATTGTTGGTAGCTGCGAGTCTGCACAATGGGTTATAACTCTGCCGTTTCTCCCGCAAGAATCGAACCCTGAATTTTAGTGTTATAATTCCTCGATCTCATCACTGTGCCAAAATTGAGATTATTTGAAACGTCAAATATATGTTAGGTACAAAGAAAGAAATGATATAAAACAGAGTATATACACATAGTAAAATACTGTAAAGTAACATACAAATTGCAATAATGCAGAATACGCAGATCTGCCCTGAATATCTTATATTTGTGTAGGTAACCCGAAACAGTTATCATATTTTAGACATTTTTCTATTCCATATTAATTTTTGCAGTAATGCGTTATTTGAAGCTTTGATCTGATGGGAAATTAGCTTTAAATGTTATATTTATTAGTTTTGAATTATATGTGTGGATATAATAAAAAAACGAACTAAAATATGTTGGTTACTTTTAATCGTCATTCATAAGCTTTAAAACGTGTCAATAGATGGCGCAAAAAAAAGCAGCTCAGAGAATTTTACGGAGGCGTGTTCAACTGCTTAAAGCAACAGCGGGGTACACATGTTGCATCACACACAACCTGGTAAAAGAACATTTAAGAATCATCCTTCAAAGACCTGGAACGATCCTTTGAACCTGTTATAAAGCCAACTTAAGTTTATTATTTACAAGATGATGATTACTTTAGATAACATTACAAATGAAGCGGTAAATTTTACCGATAGGGAGGAACTTCGTCCACCACCAGCCTCCCAGGTCACTGTTATATCTCTTTCAGGCCTCTTCTTTCTAATTGGGACAGTAGGGGTTTTGGGAAATGCTCTGGTCATCTTTGTCATCCTCACTGACAAACGTATGCGTTGCTCAGTTACTAATCTTCTCATCATGAACCTGGCCGTCAGCGACTTCATCATCATGGTAGTCTGCATTCCGGACATTGTCCAGTTCATGAAGAACGTCGGCTGGAAATTGGGATTGATTTCTTGTCGACTTCTGCGATTTACTGAGGTGTTTTCTCTGTACGCCTCTGTAATGACCCTTGTTGGTGTTTGTGTCGAACGGTGAGTGGCACGTTTTTATTTATTTAATAATCAAGAAAGAGTAGCTTTTTCTTTTTTTCTCTGTGAATGTATTACTGGCTAATAAATAACTCAAAAGATAATTACAACAAAGGTGAAAGATCTTATAAGTCTCTCTTGAAGTATGCACATGACTTAAGAAACTTTAAAACCCAACCATAGAATAGCAATACGAGCATTATATTCAAGTCTTTAAATTACGTATTGCTTCCTGATGTTATTACCAACTATACACGAAGAAAACTGTTGTTCTAGATCAATGACTTAACAAACGATGGTCTAGCTACCGTTCTTATAGTAGTAGTGTTTTATAGAATAAGGTTCAAACTACCCTTCTTTATAATAGTGATGCACTGAACTAACCGCTTCATTTCTTAGAATTGTTTACAAAACCTAACTCCTTTTTTTTTGTCATATTTCGAAAGGTTCCACGATAACATGCTGTGTTTAAACATGATGGGCCTTTTCCTTTATATGTGGTTGAATGTATCCGATATATGTTGTTTAAAATTGCACTTACAAGCAGCGTTTCTCAGAACTTACACTTAAAACCGTTTGCAGTTTGTATATAGTTCTACATGGAGTACACAAGTTTACACAGTGTTGATGATTGTGTATTGTATGGTTAGTTGTACATGGAATAAGTTTGACGATTACGTTTCGTATAATTATACATAGAATAAGTTTGAATATTGTGTTTTGTATAATTCTCTACGGAGCAGGCTTGACGGTTAAGTACATTAGAAGAAAGTTTGATGATTGTGTTTTGTATAGTTAGTTATACACGGAGTAAGTGTGATGAGTGTGTTTTGTAAAATTATACACGAAGTAAACTTGCGATTATGTTTGAATAGTTGATAAATATATTATTTCCTACTTATCAACATTAACACGGTATATTTTAAACACTAACATATTTATATTTCCGTATGTAGAACAACAAATTACCAAGTAAAAAAAAAGACCAAGGGCAATTATGTATGTATAGATTCCCTGTAACGAAAATGCTCTAAGTAACAAAATATATTTTTCTGGTAACATGTTGTCCATCTACTTTTGTCTTCCCTAGTTAAATAATACCGTAGCGTTATGGAGTTTGAACTAAACTTATGAAAACATAGCTTACGTTTACGTACCACGTAATTATATAATACTGATTTATTGACACTTTACTCCAGTACAAGACGGATACAAATAGCCTATGATTATATTGTATACACACATATATAGTGTTGTAAGTTAAATCCTTGACTTTAAAGCAATTCAATACCTTTAGTCTGTGTATCAAGTAACTTCATTTAACTCGCAGCGCTACCATAACTTACAACACAAAACAGCTCTTCTCCTGTAAGTAAAACAGCAATCATTTGGAAACTTTCTAACAGCAGAGTACATTTTCTCACCAAGGCACGTCTCTAGTTACAATGAATTTCACTTCTTTTCACGTGTTTCGTTTGAGCGAGACAAAGTGGAAGAACGAAAAATATCAAGGCAAACAGGAACATTTGTACCACTTTTAATATGATTTTTCTCTGCCAACTAAATATAACACAGAGTAATATGTTTGACATTATCCTGTAATATTACTTTGATTACATTCATAACAATATAATGGCAAAGGCGAGACTTTCTTTCCTTTTCTCCTCTCTTTTTTTATTAGTTAGTTAAGCTACACAATGGACTATTTGTGTTGTGCCCACCATGGGTATCGAAACCCGGTTTTGAGTGATATAGGTTTTGAAATTTTCCACTGTGGCACTGGCGCTATTATTAACAAATCAACATGAATATTGAGCGTTCAACATAAACACCATAGTCGGCCTAATAAGAATCAGATGATGATTTTGTTGCCAAGCTATGATGAATATTGTTGAGCATTATAAAAAAAAGAAGCATGAATGCGTTATCGACAGAGTGACGAAATGAATAAGCCTTTTATAGTTAGTGATACTAAAGTGTTGTGTGTATACACGAGGGGTGACTTTCTTTTATTATTGTTATTATTAGAAAGTAGAATATTGTTTATGCACGAGGAATGACTTTCTTTGTTTTCAATAACTAACACTACCATATAACTACAAACCAGGCATCAAAGTTTGCTTGAGGTTTACTCTTTCAGATGATCCATGCTGGCCACTCAACAAGCGAAGAAATGTGACATGAAATATTATCCCATCGCGTGTATTCAAGTCTTTTGTTGTTTCTTATGTTTCATAGATTTCACTTCTTCTTCATCTGTTGTTGAGCTTAAATATAAAGAACTTCAAATCTTACAAGTTCCTTCCAACTGTTACAAGTTTTCTCTTGACGTTATAAATTTTGTTTACGCATTCGTATATCTCGTAAATCCGTCTATAATACCATACCTTAATAGTAGCTATTTTAATTGTTTTATATTGTCATTCATGCATACTTAGTGTTTTCTGTTTTCCGTAGCTATGCCTTGTGTCAAACTATTCACACTTATCATGCTTTGTATCATTTTATACCTTTAACTTTACCGCTGATTAAATCTGTTTATTCCGAAACGTCTGTCGGTTGTGTATAGAATATTGTTCTTCTATAAAAATATTCTTCTTTTTTTGTACTGAAATTAGAAATATTATCTGTATTTCTGTGCGTGTGTGTCGTACTTAATTCACTTATTACTTCCTTCCTATGTTGTATTCTCTAAGTCATTCTTCCGTTTCCATGGTGCTTGCATTTTATGTAGATATGATAGCTAAGCTACGTGTTTCACTTGTTGTACATTCAAGTTACATCACCCTTAAATAGAGTCTTTGCTAGGCACTGACACACGTGGCCCATGTCCTGATTCTACTTGACAGCGCCCAGAATCCTCAGTTGGTGTCTTGAAAAATCAGAATAGAAAATCGCGATCGACATCATACAGAAACTCCGAAGAATTCCGCGCCTATGGGCCCGAGCCCCGAATCTTCTAAGCACTTAACTATGCCTCTACTTTTAGAAATAAAATACACGGTTTTTCCATGAAGTGTCAGTGTGAAACTGGGAATCAAATTGTTGTTATTATTATTATTGTAAGTTACATTTATAACGGACAACAAGCTATTGGCCTTGCGTTTCTTGAAAAGTAACAAGATCTAACTAACTCACCTATGGAACTCCTTGATAATGTTGATAGCAGCTGTCAAGCACTTGATTGGTTAGTTTTCGATTGCCCTATGCTGCTGCTACAAGATGACCTCACAATAGTTACTACTAGGGGTGTGTATCTCATCATAGTAGTAGATACGATACGAATCTAGATACAAAAGTTTTACCAACTGTTTGTTACAAAGTTTGACAGTCTTGTCTGTAATTTATTATCTATATTACTAACATTGTCTTACTTAAGTATTTCACACTTTACAATGCTTTTTCAAATTGTTAGGTTTGATTTTTCTGTACAAAAGACGTATAATGTTTACAGAAAGCTTGCCAAATTTCGTGAAGGTACATAAATCGTATTGTATCGTTCCAGACGATGTATCGATACAATAGTATCACTTCACGATACGATACTCGTATCATATCGCTGTGTCGCAACACCCCTAGTTTCCAAAGAACAAATACAGAGAGAGAAAGACACGTAATTAATGGAAGGACAAATAAGGAAATTCGTTTTTAAAAATAAACAGACACTAAAAAGAGAAGAACACCTTTATGAAAAACAAATAGGAAAAATACTTTCATAATACTCTCTTTCTTAGTTGTTCTTCAAGAAGAGATGTGAATGTATGTTTGTTAAAAGAAAATGATGATAAATGTTTTGCAATAACCGATACAAATTTTGTACAAACGTTTAAAATGAAGCTAAAAATGTTTGTATCTTTCACATTGTCACTGCTGAGCGTATCAGTAAGAAGCTGTATATTCAATCAGTTAGAAACAGTGTTCTCACCTGCTTGTAGGAATCAAACACAGAAGGTTTCTACGAAAAAGTTTATGTATAGAAGATAAATGTTTGTTTTTCTGAAATTTGTGCAAAGCTAAGCGAGGGCTTTTTGCGTGAGCCATCGCTAGTTTTGATCTGACAGACAAGAGGAAAAGCAGCCAGTCAATAACACCCACAACCAACTTTTGTAGGATTCCACTGTTACTCTTATAACGCACCACGGTCCCAAAATGTACAGCACGATTTTTTATATTTTCTGTAACGAGACACGAACCATGGACTCTTAGATTCAAAGTCTGGAACACTAGCACCTAGGACACAGTCCACGCAAGCCATGATTATTCTCTCGAACCTTATTCAAAGTCATCAGGAAAAATACACAGAAAACAAACTTTACTCTGTTATGCTTCCATGATGCAAGCAAACTGCAATAGCATTTAAATTAAAGTAAATTTTGAAAGAACTTCGCTTTTGCCGAGACCGTTCGATCAACAAGAGTAGTCTATTGTGTTTGGATTACTTGATATGCTTAATTTTGAAGGAAATAATAGCCTGTATGATACATATTGTCAAATCTTGCTAAGTATAATCCCTTTTACGTTAGGAAATATAATATATCAGAACTAGAATATAGAGGAAAAGTACGTTATATTAAAACGAAATTGAAGCCTTACCTCATCGTTATATTCCATGTCGCCACGTCCAATCATATATTTTGACAATAGACTCGCAGCATAGTTTCTATTGCAAAGGGCGCCGTCGTAAGGTTGTAATGTCCAAAGCATACCATTCTTTTCTGGAGGCTTTCCATAATTCACCTAATGTACGAGGACGACGGTTTTCAGCGGCCGTTTGAAAAGTCTGTTCTCACAGAAATCCATATGCGTATGTCCGACGACTTGACCGGTATATCTTAGTATGGAATAACATAAATACCCATTTCATTTTTCATTTGCTTGAGGTATGCGATTGTTGAACAGAAGGCATGACTGGAAGCCCTATCTTGGTGAATCCATACCCTGTTTGCCTCGTTTCCAGACATATATATATATATCCTTCTTGATTATGCCACATACTTTTGCCTGGGGCACGTGGAGGCTTTTGGCACTGATATTAATATTCGTAGATTCTCATCTGTTACAGGAGACCACACCTTGGTCACCAGTGACCGCGGCAGAGGTACGACTTGTCTCTTTTTGGGTGGTCCTAGGGCATCAAGTTCATCCATATTGCCCTGATTTCCAGTATAAGGAATATCCCTGTTTTGGAAACTTAACCCCTGATCTGAACATGTATTTATGATCTGAGTCTATGAATAACATCGGAAAAAGCAGTTACATACCCTCCTCAAAAGCGATCAATTCTCGATGACATCAACGACGAACAAGGTCTTGTCGTGATTAGCCAATGCTACCAAACTTCCCCCACTGATAATTTTTCTAAGAGTCACCGTGCTGTGAGAGAAACTGACCTCTGGTATCATTGTTGAGTGCAATCGTAAAGACTGAATGACGGATGATTTGATGAATAAGTGGGCCAATCGCATTTAGAGAGGATATCCTGATGTTTTTTGTTGTTTTTTTTTCATCCCAGATTCAGCACTCGTGATGGACAACATGTCCGCTAACATCACTTCTGGCGTGAAAGACCACTTACAGAAGGAGCTGAAGACTGACCTCGAGATCATACCAGAAAGTCTGACTTGCAAACTGCAACCACTTGATATAGGAGTCAATCATGTCTTCAAAATGCACGTGCTTTAAGAATGGGAGAAATGGACGCAGGACGGAATCCACACGCTCACGACTTAAGGTAAAATGAGGAGGGCGACCTCTGGTGACATTTTCTTCTGGATTTTGAAGGCGCAGGGAAAAGTCCCGAAAGAGGAATAGCCTTTTTCCTATCAATTAAGTCTCCTCTGATGAAGATCAGATGAAGAAAATGATACTGATGATGATAAACTCCTGTCAAATATGAACTGATGGAACTGTTTCACTCAGATTCCGAAGAATCTGATTTGATAGATTTTCGGATAATGGAATTTAGGCGTGGTACGTTATAATTAAATTCTGAATAAATTCGACCACTCTCATCCAAGTTTTCATATCATTTAGAATTCTTGAATAAATGAATGAAGCATGCACATGTATTGTTGTCTTCCATTATCGAAAAAAAAAATGTTAGAAAATAATAAAATTAAAAATAAAATGTCACAAATTTCTTCTTTTATATTTTATAATCATTTTCTTAGAAAGAACTAATTGCTATGAAAAGGCACGCGGAATACACGTCAAATGTTTTCACGTGAGCCTACCGGTAAATCGACAACAGATTTGTTACAGACACGGTTTATACTCGGGTGTGGTTTATACACGAGTTTGTTTCTTTTTTTTGTAATGTTGACTTGTAGAGGGTGCTGCTTATAATAGTGCTGATTATATTATTTTTTTTAATAGCATTTGTTAACCTGATTTATCCTGGTACCTTATGTTTCCAAGGGTCTCTATCTGAAATGATGCATAACTTGGGGGGTTCTCCCCCCGTTTACTTATCGATCGTTCAATCAGAAACACCCATAAACCTATATTAATAAATGTCAACGTCACAATAAACAGGTAAAACATTTTGCTAAAACACTTCGCTGTTACAAAAAATATGCATATACTAATATATTTTGTCAACCTTTAAAATAATTATCCAACAAAAAACTGCACTTACACGAAGTTCAGCGTATGAATAAAGCAACAATTATTTTTGTGAAGCAGCTTTTAATGTGTTCAATATCCCTCCACCTCATCGGGGACAAGCACGGCCTAATGGTTAATAGAGCTATAATTCCGTAGTTCGTGATCCGTTAAAGCCAGAAGAAAAAAACATAATAATCGCCTAATGGTTAATAGAGCTATAATTCCGTGGTTCGTGATCCGTTAAAGCCAGAAGAAAAAAACATAATAATTGCCCTCTGCACTTTGGAGCAATGGGTATGTTATAAGAGTGACAGTCAAATCCCCTATTCGGTCCTACAAAAGTATCCCAAGAATTGGCGATGGGTGGTGTTGACTATCTGTCTTCCTCTAGTCTTTCACTTTGAAACAAAAACAGCTATCGCAGATAGCCCTCGTGTAGCTTTGAGCGAAACCCAATAAACAAGCAAATCCTTCTCCTCGTGCTGGTTAGGGCGCTCGACTCGCAATCTGAGGGTCGTGGGTTCAAATCCCCGTCATACCAAACATGCTCGCCCTTTCAGCCGTGGGGGCGTTATAATGTAACGGTCAATCCCCGTATTCGTTTGTAGAAGAGTAGCCCAAGAGTTGGCGGTGGGTGGTGAT